AATAATCATGAGAAATAATATAAAGGACCGTGATATAATTGAAAACAAATATTGAACTTTCCTCTGATTTTAATGTTTATTAGCAGTTATACACTTATATAAGTACTGCTGTTTAAAAAAGTTCAGCTGTATTTGTTTCACATGAAAAAAATGTTAACTGACAAAACTAAAGATCTATATTGTAAAAAAATGGGTGGGGTAAATTTTTTGACCCCCTCATTTTTTTTTAATGTAAAAACGATTAAGATTATTCATGTTCTTTTATTTGATAATACTGTTTTACAACCACCACTACTATATTTTCTATGTGTATTATGTATAATGAAATGATATTATAAACGATTATGTTAAAGTTGTTAAACTAAGAAAATAAAGGGATTATATAATTTGAAATGAGACATCTTCGTTTTGATCATTTTTTCAGAATTTTCCCCTTTAAACAGCATTTGCAACTTTTGGGTTCACATCAGTGAAGGATTCAAGAAAATAAATATATATTTTTTATTTCTTTTGCAATTACTTCTAGGTTCTGCTATTGTTTTGCCAAATTTACTAGACTATATGTCGATCTCTACTTTAGATTAGTCCCAATAGCCCATGTTTTTCATTTTTCATTTCTAAAGCAGAAAGAATTCCAACATTTAATAAGCGAAGCTGCGTTTTTAGTCCGAACTTGGCTTATGGAATCATTCTTTTATCAATTATTGTTTCGTCGAGAAATCAATTACATGCTATCATGTGTCTGTCGTGTCCAGCAGAACGAATGTGTTTATTTACAAGTAATCACACTTACAAAATGTAGCAAATAAGTTATGATTTGGATTTCTGTCGTAAGAGCGTCTGACCTAACTAAATAATCGGGTACAAAGTAAACAAATTATTCATTTCAAGTATTATAAGTAATAATTGACTAATCTTGAAAGTGTTCATAAAAGGTCGTAGAATCTGCTCAGCGAAATTTTCATTTAAGTATTTTTAGTGATAATTTAGTACATGGTCACCTTAAGTGTTTAAAAGTATCAAAAGTAAGTAATGACAATGTTCTTTACTTCTTACAGGAATAAATCAATTGTGTGTACTAGACTTTTATTGGTAGCAACACTTGCTTCGCAAACTCTTTGTGTTCCTCAAGAAAGATGCAATTTAAACGAGTACCAAGACACATTATTTTGTATAAATATAAGTTCAAAGATGGTGCGTTTTTACATGTTTAATTACTTTATTATTTTTCTTGTTTAAATATACACATGTAGCTTAAAACTAACATATGATGAAATAGAACTGAACAAATATTGAATGCTATTTTAAATAGTTTATGATTAAATAAAATTTTAATGCAAAAATACGGAACCGAACAGAATATAATTAAACTGTACAATAATAAATAGTGTAAATGGTTGGGTAGGTTGTTGCAATGTTGCTTTAAGTTGTAGTTCTTCTCATTTTCACTGCATGCTTACTTTATATCATACCATGAGAAAAGTATTTAATGCTTATTAAGTCATAATTTATGGCGTACATTTACTCTTTTACATTTTAAGATATTTAATCCCTGGAACATTAAGGTTTACTATACAGTGGATGATGAATACATGCACAATCTAAAATTATATCCTGAGGACAACTCGAATCATATTTCCATTTACTTGGAAATAAAAATTGAGGCTTTGATGACTGGTATGTTTGTTTTGTTTATCATTAAGTCATCAATTTGTTAATTAAAGCAAATGTTAATTTTTTATTTTAAATTAATTCATTTAATAAAATATGATTTTATTATTCTATGTACATTTGAACATTCAAACAATTTATCGATTCTACCGATTTGAATTAAAAAAACTTATATAAAATCCCGCTATTGATCCAACTTTTACGTATTTGTATGAAACTTAATTTGATATTTTTCAACTAAAATCTGAAATCACTTGTTTGATTAGACTCTGTGAACACATTTACACTAAAAAATCGACATGAAATATCTTGTCTAAAATCTTTTTACCACAATTTCTTTCTTTAATTGTAAAAATACTGTGTTTTTGTCTGGATTAATTTGGGTTGCCAACTATCGAGAGTCGCATTTAATTAATGAATGTTAACCTTGATTTTTTAATATTGTGGTTATTATAATATAAATACAATCAAATTTCAGTGACCGATCTGAATTGCAAACTGACATATATTGCGCTAGGTTTTGCTGGATTATGCGTGATACTGTGTTTTGGACTTATTTTGGCTAAAACCCGGCATGAAGGTACGTATACTGACAGGAACGTATCTAAAAAGTCCGAATGATATCAGTTGATTCCTTTTGACACTTACTTAAAAAAAACAACCCGTCTGTATAGTCTAAGAACAATATAAAAAATAATTTTTGGTAAAAGAACAAATAGAAAAAAATATCAATGTATTTAGATAAAGATATTTAACAATAATAATAATAATTATTATAATAATATAATAATAATATTAATAATAATAATTATAATAATAATAATAATAATGATGACGACTGTAATATATTGACTCGCTATTGGTCAGCTAGTATTAGCCACTAGCTGATAAGCCCCGCCTAAATTCACCTGGCATCACCTCTATGTAGTATCATTTGTAAATAGATTTAGTAACCAGACGGCTGCGTTGTTTAATCTCTCTACCCATGCTTGTCCCGTCACTATGTAATAGCAGACATTACATTGGCGACGAGGATGATTGGATAATACTTTTCACTAGTTTAATTAATTCTAGAGGACTTGTTAATAATAAGTTCAGTGATAAAGTTATTGTGGCTATTTTCAAGAATATAGGATTTATATAAATTATTTCAAGATGGCATCTTTTGAACTGCCAACGCCACAGCCTTTCAAAGTTATTGGACAAAGTACAAACTTATCCAGTTCATGGGACAATTATATCAAACGTTTTGAATATTACATACATGCAGCCGGAATAACAAAAGACGAAAGAAAAAAAGCTCTCCTATTACATCTGGGAGGAGAGGAATTACAAGACATATATGAGACATCAATCCGTCAAGAAAATTCTTAAAGCCAAACAGTCAGGGATTTAACTCATTACTTTAATCCAAGGAAAAACATAGCATATGAAAGACATAGATTTAGACAGGAAAAACAACACTCAGATGAAACTGTAGACGATTACATTAGAAGACTCAAACAACTCTCAGTATCTTGTGATTTTCCAGAAAATACAGCAGACGACATGATTCGCGATCAAATTATAGAACATTGTACGTCAAAAGAATTAAAGATCAGATTTCTACGCGAACAAGACCTAACATTAGAAATAATTCAACATATTGCCCACACAACAGAACTTGCAAACTTGCATGCCAATGAAATACAACAGTCTACAAGAAATCAACACAAATTAGATTATACCTATCAAGATGATGTAAAACATGTTAAACACAAACCAACTAGACAGCGGAAGCAGTACCAGCCAAGAGCCAGACCAGCACCAAAACCGACACAATTCAAGAGCTGCTACCGTTGCGGAGGAAAAGGTCATTCTGGTCACGAATGTCTTAAATCTCGTAATATTACGTGTCGTAAATGCAACAAGCTTGGACATTATGCGAACATGTGCAAATCTCAAAAAAGCCACGTGCATTACGTAAATGATCATCAAGAAAATGTAAGTGTACAACAAGACGAATGTCTATTCAACATAACTTCAAAATGTCAGTCACCATATGTGCAAGTTGAAATAGAAGGAATTAAATGTAAATTGCTCATAGATTCTGGAGCTAGTGTTAACTGCCTAGATCGCGCAACCTTTAAAAAAGTAAAAACAAAATCAACATCACTTCACAAATGTCATTCAAAGATCTACCCTTATGCTCAAAAAATACCTTTGAAAGTTCTTGGAATTGCAGAAATGAAAATGAAATTAAATGAAAAGGAAACAAAAATAAAATTTCACATCATTGATAAAGAATGTACACCACTATTAGGACAGCAAACTGCAGTTGATCTAGGATTACTTAAATTCTGCATTAACAATGTGAAAACAAATCAAAATAACATGGATAATATTTTATCGGAGTTCAGTGACAGATTTCAAGGATTGGGAAAACTCAAACTTTCCAGCTACAGCTACATATCAACAAAGATGTTAAGCCCATTGCACAGCCAAATCGCAGAATACCTTTCAAAATGCGACAGCAAGTCAGAGTAAAAAATTAAGCAACTTCTAGATTCTGACGTCATAGAAAAAGTTGAAGGTGCTACACCATGGGTGTCACCCCTGGTAATTATTCCGAAAAGTAATGGAGACATAAGAATTTGTGTAGACATGAGACAAGCAAATACAGCAGTCGAACGTGAACGGTTTTCAATGCCGAACATTGACGAAACACTAGAGGAACTTAGTGGAGCCAAATTCTTCACTAAACTAGATCTAAACATGGGGTATCACCAGATAGAACTCGAACCACAATCAAGAAAAATAACAACATTTGTCACAAACGATGGAATATATCGCTATCGCCGACTTATGTTTGGAATTTCCTGTGCTTCAGAAGTCTACCAACGTATAATACAACATACTCTTCGAGACATACCGAACTGCAAAAATATTTCGGATGATATATTGGTATATGGCACAACAAAAGAACAACATGATGCCACATTGCGTAAAGTTCTACAACGCCTACGAGACAAAAACCTAAATCTGAACAAAAGTAAATGTGAATTCTGCAAGACAACCATCACATTTATGGGTCACACCCTCACCGCTGATGGACTCATGCCACATGATGACAAAATAAAGGCAGTGCTAAATACAACACCACCAAAAAATGTGAAAGAAGTTAAATCTTTCTTAGGACTGCTAAACTACTGCTCGAAATGTCTTCCCAATTTCGCAACAATTTCGGAACCTATCAGAAAACTAACAAATAAAATGTTCCATTCGACTGGGAAAAAGAACAGCAATCTGCGTTTGAACAATTAAAATCACTGATAACAAGTGCAAGTGTCATGGCTTTCTACAACCCAGAAGCTGAGACAACTCTAATGGTCGATGGCTCACCATATGGTTTGGGTGCAATTTTGGTTCAAAAACAAAATGATGGACATTTAAGACCTGTAGCATATGCAAGCAGAACACTAAATGATGTTGAAAGGCGTTACAGTCAAATTGAAAGAGAATGCTTAGCAGTAACTTGGGGGATAGAAAAGTTTCACACTTATCTGTATGGATTAACCTTTAAAGTAATTACAGACCATAAACCGCTAGTCAACATTTTCAAGCCAACACACAAACCTCCAGCTAGACTAGAAAGAATGCTTTTGAGACTACAATGTTACAAATTCAACATCGAATTTCAATCTGGAGCATTAAACCCAGCTGACATCCTCTCAAGGTCAACGTATAGTCAAGAAAAATGTGAGATATCAAATATCACAGAAGGTTACATGGATTATGTGTGCGAAAACGCCGTGCCAATGGCTATGACCTTAGATCAAATTGATAAAGAGTCATCTCAGGACAAATTCATTCAAGAACTAATCAAGTGCATTCAGCATGATAAATGGCCGAAAAATCAAGATTTCAAGATTTTCTACAAGATACGCAATGAACTGTCGGTACATAATAACATTGTGTTACGGGGAAACAGAATTGTAATTCCACAGGGACTTAGGCCAAAAGTATTACATATAGCACATGAAACACATCAAGGCATAGTGAAAACAAAGCAAATGCTAAGAGAAAAAGTTTATTGGCCTGGCATTGACAACGCAATTGAAATGCTGATTAAAACGTGCTTCCAGTGCCAGCTAGTCTCAAAATATGATAAAGATAAGATCAACAAGGAAAGGCGGCGTTCAATGAGCGCAACCCCCATATGACCCAGCAACAAGAACCAATGGCAAGGAGCCCAGGCGGACCCCAAACATAAAAAGGACAGGGCAACCACACGTTAATCATTAAATGATAAATGATTTGTAACTGATTAGGAATTCAAAGAAAATAATAATAGGCCCACAAAGGGGAAGGGGACAGGAGACCGGGGGAAGGGGGGGGGGGGTAATCAAAGAAAAAAAAACTAGAGGCAATGGGGAAGATACTTACCGTAGACGAGAAAACAACAAGGGACACAAGCAAAAGTGTCACCAAAACAGTATGAAACAACATAGACATACATTCTGAGGAACACAGTGGGGCGAACCCGCCACGACAACTTCCTATCACGCCAACCGAATTACCAGAGACACCCTGGCAAATTGTTGGGATGGATTTAACAGGACCGTTCCCAGGGGGAGAATATATTCTTGTAGTCATAGATTACTACTCTCGTTATCCAGAAGTTGAAATCATGAAATTAATCACTTCAAGGTGTATCATTCAAAGACTTATGAAAATATTCGCCACACATGGACTTCCGTCAGTGATTAAAACGGACAATGCACCAAACATGGTATCTCAAGAAATCACAAATTTCTTCACTGCAAACGGAATAAAACACCAACGTGTTACGCCTTATTATCCACAAGCAGCCGGATTGGTAGAAAATTTCAACAAAACAATAGCAAAATGCGTTAAGACTGCTAACAATGGAAAGAAAAACTGGCGAACAGAAATCTACAAATTTTTGATGACATAAACATATCGAACAACCCCTCATGTATCCACAGGATCCGCACCTGCATCCCTATTATTCAACAGAACAATAAGGAATAAAATATGATAAACAAGATCAACAAGGAAAGGCGGCGTTCAATGAACTACCGCACTTTGAAAGAAAGAAAAATGACACAAAAGTAAGAAAAATGGACTCATACAAAAAACAAAACATGAAGAAATACGCAGACAGGCAGGCAAATACTCGGAATATAACATATAAACTTGGACAGAAAGTGCTTATTCTAAACAAACATCAAGGAAAATTAGACTCAAAATGGAATAATGAAATATACACTGTTATTGGACAAACGGGAAATCAAGTGAAATTAAAATCAAGACACAATGACATTGTGAGAAGGCACATCACTCAAATCCATCCATTTTATCAGAGATAAACTGTCAGACACATTCTCAATGAAAACAAACTGACCATAGACTAACCATTAAACTAAGAAAATTAATGACATGTTTCAGGAAATGATTACTTTAAATTAAATAGCAATAAATGCTATCATTCAAACTGCTAGAGAAAACATTAAGATTAATCAGTGTAACATTATTTCTGAGACTGTTTACAAAATGTCTAAACTTTATTGCTCTGAAAACTTCATGCGTCTTAGATAAATGACCACTATTATTTACAAATGACATGCTAGATTATGTTCATGATTATAATGCTTTTATTTCAGGGATTTTGAGTTCATGAACTTTTTAAACTACTTGCATGTTATTCTTCTGAGAAAAAGGCGGATGTAATATATTGACTCGCTATTGGTCAGCTAGTATTAGCCACTAGCTGATAAGCCCAGCCTAAATTCACCTGGCATCACCTCTATGTAGTATCATTAGTAAATAGATTTAGTAACCAGACGGCTGCGTTGTTTAATCTCTCTACCCATGCTTGTCCAGTAACTATGTTATAGCAGACATTACAACGACGATGATGATGATGAAAAAATAATGCATTACATAAAATAGATATCTGGTGTACGTTTCAGTTTTACCTTTTCGTACTTCCAATCATTGTGTAATCAAGTTACATACTAACTCTGTAGCAAACTAATTTGTACCTGGTATTATCGTTATATGTGAACAAAGAATTATGAGTTATATTTGTCGAAAAATATTCTATTTTGTTTTATGACAGTTCTGACTAATGGTGGATCATGTGATGGTTGTAATCAGGCTCGTCAAACGGTTCGTTTATTGAGTTGTCGGGGTTATCAGCATGCTCTGTGTCTTCAATGTTTCAGACGTTGTCAACACTGTCCCGTGTGCCATACGTTGATAAGGGCATTCATTTAGAGTTTAAAAACCCATTCATTTCAAGACATGCTTTTCCCAAAAAGATGTTCAGTGGATTTTTTAATTCGTTGATTGTATACAAATATAGAAATGTCATAATAAAAAATGTACATAAAACTAAATAAGATTTCGATGGAACTTAAATTTGTGGATTGACCTATCAACGAAAACCACAAAAAATTAGTGATCCACGAATAAAAATGATTAGGCACATGGAGTTATAACTTCCGAAAGAATTCATTTTTAGTTAGAGAATAACAAAATGCAATATGTTTAAATGATAATGACAGTCATGAAATATTGTTTTCACGAATTCAAAATTTTATCTTCATAAATTCACGAGTTCAGTCCTTTAAATGATATCCTACATTAAAAAGAAGAAGAAGACTAAAACCAGTCAGGAATCTTTTGTTAGCTATAACTTGGATCCTTTATTTTTTATTGTTTGTTTTTTGTTGTTGTTTTTTTGTTTCCTTGTTTTGTTATTGTTTTTGTTGTAAAGTAAAATAATATAACTCAAACCACAACATCATCATTGCTGTGAAAGTACATTTTATTTATGTGAGCATATACAATATCTCTTCTGACCCAGCGTTAACGCTTTTTGTAGTTAATTGTTAAAATGTTTAGAAAATGAATAAATACCAAACAGTAATGTTCAAAATATTACCAATTCCTGATTTTCTTAATCAATTCATTGTTAATATTTTTTGTATTAAAATTAAATGTACATTACAAAATTACTACATTACTTTTAAGACATTTTGGGTAAAAAAAACAACTGCTAAATACATTAATGTTTATCATGAGAAGTTTAAATGTATCATAAACAACCAACAAGAGCCACCGCCGGGCGGGGGCAACGCTCGACTTTTTACTTTTTCTAAACGCAAACATAGAAAGGTTTGAACATATATTGATGTTTCCTTTTTATAAATTTAGTTGGTCTGTCTTGTCACATTAGTTTTGTTTATATATTTTGTATATATATGAATAGAAACATTAAGCATATTTCTAAAAATAGCAACAGTATGCAATTTCTAAAAATAGCAACAATGACGCAATTTCTAAAAATAGCAACAATGACGCAATTGCTATAAATAGAAAAAATGACGCAATTTCTAAAAATAGCAACAATGACGCAATTTCTAAAAATAGAAAAAATGACGCAAATTCTAAAAATAGCAACAATGACGCAATTTCTAAAAAATAGAAAAAATGACGCAATTTCTAAAAATAGAAAAACATGACGCAATTTCTAAAAATAGAAAAAAAATGAAGCAATTTCTAAAAATAGAAAAAATGACGCAATTTCTAAAAATAGAAAAAAATTACGCAATTTCTAAAAATAGAAAAAAAATGAAGCAATTTCTAAAAATAGAAAAAATGACGCAATTTCTAAAAATAGAAAAAATGAGGCAATTTCTAAAAATAGAAAAACATGACGCAATTTCTAAAAATAGAAAAAAAATGACTCAATTTCTAAAAATAGAAAAACATGACGCAATTTCTAAAAATAGAAAAAATGACGCAATTTCTAAAAATAGAAACAATGACGCAATTTCTAAAAATAGAACAAAAATGACGCAATTTCTAAAAATAGAAAAAAAATGACGCAATTTCTAAAAATAGCAACAATGACGCAATTTCTAAAAATAGAAAAAATGACGCAAATTCTAAAAATAGCAACAATGACGCAATTATATATACATGTATATATATATGTATATATATATATTTGATATATATATATTTATATTTGATATATATATATATCTATATATGTATATATATATATATATATATATACATGCATATATATATATATTTATATATAAAAAAGTATGTTTTGGGAAATGCACAGTACAAAGTTCTTTAATTTTTTATACGTTTATTTCTGTTATAAAAAATTAAAGAACTTTGTACTGTGCATTTCCCAAAGCATACTTTTTTTATACATGAGATCCACACAAGGAATCGAACTTCTTTTTTTATATTTATATATATATATATACCTACATATATGTATATATATACACACACACATTTATATATATATATATAATACATATACTATACATACACACACACCAATAAATGCACAATCTGAGAAAATTCAGTAATATAACCTTCAAGGTCAAGGTCATTAAAGAGCCCAAGCAAATTTGGGTTTGATAAACAACAAGGTCTGGTCCTTAAGAATGTTCTGTTATAATATGAAGTTTTATCCCTTCAAAAATAGCAAAGTTACAGTCAGTTACTGCCAAAACAATGAAAATTTCAATAATTTGACCTTCAAAGGCAATGTCATTAATGAGTGAAGTCAAGGTCTTTCGGTATATTTTTAACAGTTATCTTTGAAGATTATTATGTTCAAGTTTGAAGACAATCCATTCAAAAATAACAAAGTTACAGCCAATAATAGCCAAAAAAATGAAAATTTCAATAATTTGACCTTCATAGTCAAGGTCATTGATGAGTGAATGTCAAGGTCTGACTTGTTATTTTTAAGGGATATCCTTGAAGATTATTATGTTCAAGTTTGAAGACAATCCATTCAAAAAATAACAAAGTAACAGCCAATAACAGCATGAACAAGCAAAAATTGGACTTTTAACCTTGAAGGTCAAGGTCATTTATGGATGAAGGTCAAGGTTAGTGTGGTCTACTGAAAGGTCTTGTCCCAAGGGTTGTTGTGGCCAAGTATGAAGACAATACACCAAGAAATAAAAAAGTTATGATCCAGGTACAAGTTTTCGGACGGCAACGGCAACGGAGACGGCAACGCCGACCTGACTATAACAATACCTCTACTTTTTTTTTTTCAAAAAAAAAAGTCGAGCTAATGAAATGCTAATGACAAAATGATTTTGGGTTATAAATCTATAAAGAACTTCGAAGTATGCATTTAGATAGTAAAATACGTGTCAGTCATCTGTAAAATTTGGTATTATTTAAACATTCCAAACACCTGAATATATTGGTATGATTTAACAAACATTTCCGTCCTATATCTTTTGAGAATAGTACCGTAAAAACAAAATTACTGACAAGTTCAACAGTTACATGATAATGAGCTGCTAATTTCAGGAACACTCAAAATAACGTACATTTCTCTGCCTGTTTTGTAACAAAGACATGTATAATTTGATATGGAACTAAGAGAACATAGATGGTATCTTGTTTGCAAGAATGGGGGAGTTTCCCACACGCTACTGATAAGCGGAAGTAGTAAATAAGAGGTATACAAACTACGGCCACTTGATGTAAACACAGAGATTAATAGAAAGTTTCAGAGTATTTTGACTGGTCAGTTGTTAAATTAAAGAAATAATTAATTACCAAAGGGGCTTCAGCAGCAGAAATAAATGAAGATTTTATCATTTTATATTAAGGTAATCATATTTAACAAATTGAATATATTACATTAAATCTTAAACGTATACCGGTAAACTGCTTTATTTTTCAACTGTACAATGTAGACAATGTAGACTGAATAACAGTATGAAAATGATCTTGGATAAATAATCAACACTTTCCTGTTAAAACTTTTAAAAATATAATGCCTTTACATACATTTTATTTACGAAGAAATAATTAAAGTGAATTATACAATATGTTTGATAATTATAATCTATTTTTGTATATTTGTAAATTTATGATGCTTCAAATAAA